ATGCTATCGTTCTCAAGACCTGCAATAAAATCGCGATAAACTGATTTATAACTCGTTTCAGCTGGCAGAAGTGTAAGCGATTGAGTAATGCGATTAACATTTCTACCAGGACTTGGTAGTCCATGAATTTCCGCATAATTCTCGAGAAAATTCTTCACAGCGGTAGCAACGGTTATATCAATGGTTATTTTGGTTTTCCATCGTGGCATTCGTTTTATGTTACCATGAACACGCGGTATTATACCATTCGTTGCCAGATGATTTCTGACGTTTTCGAAGTGAGTGCGACCAATTCCTAACATATTAAGATACGTTTTCTGACAAAGGGGCGTATTGCGATCTCAATAATAAAACGTTCGCTTATTGGCACGCGTTTTCTTTTTAAGACGTCGACTGGCAGTTATCTCCCCACCATTCATTGCTTTCAGTTGGGCCATCAAAAATATATCTTGCTTCGATCTAGAGAGGGCTTGAAAAGCTTCACGTAATTCGGCAAAACCCCCTCTCGAAATCGTTTTTGAGCAACCACATTTGCAACCTATCTCCAGGAAACGTATTGCTTTTTCATATTCGGTTGAACCGTTATAATTATCATTATTCATATACGAGTAATCCTATATACAGTATATTTATTTATCACTTTGTATTAATTCAGAATCACTTTTGAGCCTTTAAGAAATGTATGGTTTTGGAGTATTAAGCTAAAACATTATTATTCTCTTTATGCTAATTAACGTTAGGGGATTGACTTATTATTAAAATTTTAGCTACTTCTGGGTAAAGTCATTGCATGTAAAAAAGAAAGCATTATGTATACTTATTTAAACTCTTAACTGAGGTGATTACATCAGCTGGGTAAATTAATCACCTCGTAAGACCAAACTTGTATTAGCCGTTGGATAGTAACAGTCTTGAAATCGTCTGCATAACACACATGGCAAACATTTTCACAACCTTTTTAGCTATGTAACGAAAATAGATAATTGCCCAACGATTGAGAAGTATTTGCCAATTTGGTGAAAGAGTTCATAATGTTTTTTTCATGTTTTGACCTTTGCATAAGATTTCTACTCATATCAAAGCCGCACGTCGTTTATTTCGACACAAATTTCAAAAATCCATATCTACACGTTTCTAATTAATTTGCGTAATCTTTTTTTTTGTTTTGTTTGTCAGAACAGTCTCTAAGTTTTTCTTGAAATGCGTGTCGGAAATCGTTATTATACTTGAAATAAACACGCACAATATTTTGCGTTTTGTAGTACGTAGTAGCAATCACACAGTAATTTATTTTAAAATTATATAAATACGGTTTGATGGTACAGAGAAACAAAATTACAAAATTTGGTTAGAGATATGAATTTTAACCGAAATCGCGAAATATCTAACACTAAGGGTAAAAACTTTGGTGTTGCTGGAGACAGTTAACCAAATTGAAATTTTACAGGTAAGCAGGGTTTGTTGGGTATTATATGCAGGGAAATTTTCAAAGCGTTTGCTCATTTCTGTCCCGAAACATCGACACGATTATCCTTGGGTTAGATATCGAAGAAGTAAATCCTGATGAGGGGGAGAGTTCTGGTCCAATGAGTACGCAAGATATACGGGTACCTACCGGATTTGATGTGCTGGCGGAAAGGCGTGAAAACTTGCTGTATATAAAAGAAAGTTTGATATTGCGTTGATCTTATAAGAAGGGAAAATAGACAATGATGGTTTTGTGAGAATTTTGAGGTATTACTGAGACCAGTGCTTAAAGTCATCAGTGAATGTGAAGACGCTTTACGAGCTCGTAATCAGCAACATACCTGGGCCCAAAAAAGTGGAAGACTTGCGTTTTGGTTGCGGTGATTCCAGAATATAGTAGTAACGAATAAGTCCTGTAAATAGTTGGCAGACCAAATAAACATAATAATATGGTGCAGGACATCTAAAAACCGAACAGTCCGAAATAAAGTTCTCTGAAATCACAATGCCTTTATTTTGAAAATTACAACACTTTGTCAAATTCCGGGTCAAAATCGTCCCTGTGTAAGAGCAAAACTTTAATGTTGGACTCGAAAATTAATGTTGCTCATACTTAACTATTTAAGAAAATTGATCGATTATAATCATTTTCGAGGATTCTTCTGTGCGATTTATGTTTTCTAGCAACATATTCCGCTAACTTACCTGTAACTCCGTGTCCATACATCGCCACATTTTTATGTGCGAGCTTTTCTTTTAGTAGGTCGAGGCATAGTAAACAATAAAGAAGTACCAATAATAAATGCTAAACTTATCGGATAATGTAATGTTACATAAAAAGTTGTACGTCCGAAATTTTCTAGTTGATTAAAAATTTTATCATTCTTACGGATTAGTTTTTCTCTAAACCTCTAGTATAAAAGCCTTAATATTAGGGTTTTGAAAGTTGGGTATTTTATTTCGGGCTATAGATGTCCTACACCATAATGACGCGAAAAATTCTGTTACTGTCAAACGTCATATTAGTGTTATGGACATACATTTTCGTGTGACCCGAAAATTTTTACAATATTACGTCACGATCGAACCCAGTCGTGATCTTCAACGGGTCGCGTTTCTACCTTGCGTTTCTCCTTGCGTTCTCTGGAAATGGCAGGTATGTTATAAACTGTATATCTTCTTTACTTTGCATACTCACAATTCTTTCCAGGCGAAGCCTACGAAGAATACTTTACAGATTTCCAAACAAATCCTCAACATTGGAATCTTATGGATTTTGATATATGGGCCTCTACAAATATCACAAATTCCCAGCTTAAAAGTGCTCATCAAGCCTTTTACAAATTTTTGAATACTGTTATCAAAGAGAATACGTCTACAGAAGATGCAATAAAACATGCCCAACGCCTTGTGGCTACAAAGAAGGTCAGTGTTAGGTTCTTGTCAAGCTAAATGGGGATCGTTTCGCAACTCTTGCTGAGTGCGTCTCAGCAGAGGGAGTGCGTCTCAGCGAATTAGCCGAATCGGGGACCTGCTTTAACTGCGCGCTGAGGCAGGTGATCTTCCGGTCGCTTGCTGCTCCACTGACTGCGGGTCGGGAAGAGTGGGCAAGCGGAGATCCCTTAGACGACTTCACCATCTATTTTTGTATTTCATTGTGCATGTTAACCTACGACTCACCTTCATGTATTGGTATTATTACCAAGGAGGATACTAAAATGGTAAGGCCTCTTTGGAGCAATTCAGCTATCCTAACCGTGGTTCGACGTGCAACGAATATTGTCAAGGCTCATACTGATCTCGACAAAGTCACTGAAAATCGTGTGAACACGCTTGTGTTTGGTCACAAAAGAGTGAGTAATTTTTTACCTGTACTTGTCTCCATGTCATCTACTAATAGCTTTAACTGTTACAGAAACGAGCTGATGATGATTCTTATGTGGATGTAGATAATAACCCCTTTTGGGTTCAGAGGGAAGAGGATGATGTCAACGAAGTCGAAGAAATGGTAGATACATGTGTTACTTTAACTGATTGATACATTTCAACTAATATTAATGACGATATGGAACACTTATAGAATACACCAAGAGATAATTTGCCTGAAGCAAAAAGAAGAGCCCCGGTACTGTTAACGCCACACAAGCCAATCCTTACTAAGAATGCATTTGAAACAGCGTGTTCAAAGTAATTCCAGGGCTGAAGTCGTTCAGAGATAGCATAGACATAGAATTTCCAGACATAGCCAGTGAAATCACCCATAACGAACATCAATAAACCAATTTATCTAGTTTGGGTGAGCCACTTGCGAAATGGCTTCGAGAAGTTCTCTTGGTATGTATTTGACTATTCGTTTGCAATAGATTAATGCAAGGTAATGATATTATTCATGCCTCAGTCAGCCAATCCAGAGGAACTGCGTGAACGTTTAATGCAACCAATAAAAGGAAATGGTTTGAAGATAACGGAACGGGACGAAAGGCTACATGTCGTCTTTGAAACGACACTAAGAGAATTGTACGTAAATGTTTATTTACCTACTGTTTTTTTTAAATAGTTTCTCGAGTACCAATATTTTCTCTATAGTTACGCCATGATAAAATACAGCCCTGGGCATAAAGTTCCATGGCACAGTTCCGAAAGAAAATTCCTAGTTGAGCGAGTGATAACGCCATTCAAACTCGCCGAATATATCTTCGGGGATGTGTCGACTTATTGGTAAAAATTTTTTTAATTCTTCATATGATATTATGACGTTGGAATGTAATACGTACTCTTAATAGGATCGAGAAAGAAATAATGTCGACAAAGGCTGCCGAATTTATAGACGACCCATCAGGCAATCTAACTCGAAAGAAAGCTGATGGATTGGCCATAGATCTTGTATATAACGCGGATGTTATGATAATGGAATCATCGGGCGGTCCGCTACAACAAGATCGGAAACATACGCAAGACGATTCCGTTAAATTAACCAATGGCAGCGTTTCCATTCTCCTTGCTTGCCTCCGCAAGTATCTTGGGGCCAGTGCCGAGACAACCAAAAAGTTGAAAACATACAGTATTCAAGTGATTGGTATAAAGATTTATTTATTGCGATAATGTATACTAATTATGCAGTAATATTTATTTGTTATTACTGTTTTTGCAGAGAATCGGATTACATTACTAGAGACATCACTTTACAGACCGCGATTGTGTAAGATGATTGAGGTTAGAAATGGGGTTTTTCCTTTCGCTTTATCCTCTATAGGAGAGTACATGGGTGTTTTCGAGCTTCTCGCATGCTACGTGGTATGTTTATTTAATTTGTATGTTTAAACCTAGACAATTGCTAACTTTATGCGTGCTTAGGATGGATTAATCGAACGTCGTAATGTCATGCGGGAGTTATCTAATGAGGTTAACGGGGTGAAAAAACTAAGTTCGGAAAGCCTGAAGGCCTGGTGGATCAAAGAATGAGCGAATTATATATAATGTGGAGAGCTAATATACGCTAAATAAAAAAATTACCGATCTCACTAAAATAAAGTCAATCTCGTGATATCGTGGACTTTGAAAGATAGCGAATCAAGTGAAGAAAAAAATTATCTTGACTATATAGTCTGGCTATGCATTAAATATTAATATCTTTTCAACAGCGATGATTCGTTGTGAGATTGCATGGGAGGAAATACTCGGACCCAAAACCATTGACGAGTATCATATCACTATTGGTCGCTCTCTGTATGCCGTATCATTGATAATATTATTAACACATTCTTCCCTCTTTCTTCCTTCTAAATTTTTTCGACCATTTTTCTCGAAAATTGGTCTTTTTGTTGGTAAATGCCTTTTTTTGCGCGGTTTGTGAAATTTTTGTTAAATATGTCTGAGACCCGCTCGGAAGTTTTATCAAGTAACCTGTTAAGATGTTCCCACAAACATTTTATACTTGATACGTATTTCCACGCAGCTGGTATTTTGGTACGATTTTATCGCGTTTGAGATAGAATATGGAATTTTATTGTGGATTTTATAGTATAATGAAGTACTAGCGATAAGCGGAATCAAAAGTAGTAACTCGCAGAAGATTTTAATAGTGAACGCAAGCATTCTTGAATGATGTTATTTGCTTTCATAGAATAAATTGTTCAATATCGATGTTGGAAAGATTCTATAATTTGATTTTTCTAAGACAAAATATAAGTGTGGTGTCGTGTTATTTTTAAACCCATCAGGTGCCGATCAGATTTATTCTTACTGATTATAACAGTTGATTCGTCGAGTCTTCTAATGAATTTATTCTCCTGATTCATTTTTATTGCTTTACCCAATGTTTCTAATACGATAACGGTTTGCTAACTGTGCCACTAATACTAAATCGAAGCTAAAAATAGTCAGTCACTCTAGCAATTTTTCAGCCACATCAGCCATTTTAACTCATTTATTCAAATGTTCACTTTGTCTGGTTTTGTTGCAGCATGCCCCAATTTAGAAATACAGTATAACAGGCATCTTTAGTATTATTCTATATATCATGCTTCTTGTGTTGATATTACATACTTTCTTGTTTTTCAAACCGGAAACGGCTGTCTCAGTTAAACTGTCATCATACAAATCAGAGTTTCGTCTTCCCGTAAAATCTTGAACGTTTTTAGCATTTTCCTGGTTCGAAATTATTGCATCACCCTGAATTTCATTGCCACACACAATACTTTGGATATTAATCTCGGTATTCGGAATTTCACGCATATTGTTAAATTTTTGCAAATGTTTCCAACTCTTTACCAGATGGCAATCAGGTCGTGTACCCTTACAAAAAAAAATAGAAGAGATAATTAGTGTTCTCAATAACATGATGCTGATTTTCACCTCGTAAGTACGTCAGTTCGGCACGTAGGCTTCAGCAACAGACAAGCGCGTAGGTTATCTGTGCCCCGACGGATCAGTGTTAGGTAAGGCTTGTAGACTTAAACATCAGGCAAGCGCGTAGGTTGCCTGATGCCCCAACATTGATTTTGTGGATTGAACGAAAAAAAATCTTTATATTTATTTGTGAGTAGCTGGGCCTTTTCTTTTTTACTTCCGTTTGAGATACCTTAAATACGATATAAGTATTTGAAAAAGTTCCTCTTTATTGTCTTCTAAAAATTCTATAATATTCCAATCGCTATGAGTTTGGTCAAAGTATTCTCTTTATTCTATTTACCTGATAAAAGTCCCTATTTATCATATACAGTATCAGTAAAACGCGAATGACCAGCCGATCATGTGTCGCCAGGGGGCGCAGTGAAATTTTTTGGTAAGCGTGTAACAGCAAAAAAAAAGATTTACAACGCTGTCGTTTATTGGCCAAAAGTGCAATGATGTCACCAAAAAAGTCACATGAGTGCAAAAAGTACCGAACGCATTATTCAACCCAATCGCTGAATTTGATCATGGTGACAGGCAAGAATGCGCCCAGGTGCTTCTCGATAGGTACAAAAAGGCAAGTAACGAATCTTTTTTTACTGGAGAAGGGTGGCGCGTCAGGAGGCCTTCTCGGTCGCATGATGTTCGGTGGGATGATAAATTGAGTATGTTAGTCAAAGAATACTATTGCTAATTCCTTCCATGCTAGGGTTCTCGTTCAGACCGCAAAAAAGCAAGAGAATGAAAAGAGAAACGCTTGCATAAACAGGTACGCATCCATCAACCGATTAAGGGGAATGTAGGAAATGTAATCGGGAATGTAACCGGAAATATCGGAAATATCAACTATAAAGAGAGCCACTGTGTATATTGAAGGTATTAGTATTAGTGTTCCACAAGCTATTGACTAAGCAGGGAAAAAAAATCTAACTTAAGTGTGGGCTGCTTCATTATCCATTCATAAGAGTTCAACAGCATGTCTAACATTTGCATTTGATGAACCTGTGTATAAATAACAAGCTATAAGGCTTTATTACTTTAATAAAATGTTAAACAATACATATGCCCTCACCAATTTTATTTTCATCATTGATGTATGTGGCCTTTTTATTTTGCTTACTTGACTGGAAAAACTTGTGGGGTTATTAATATCTAGAAAAGATAATACCAACAATTATCAATTTACTACCAGTAACAATAAATTGCTCAACAGATTTTATTATTATCTTATAATCTGCTGATAAAATTTTTTATTTTAATTGATTTTTTTGACTGGATAAATTTCAGCTAATTCTTGAATCTTTCTTTTTAGCTTGGATTTACTATTATATATATAAAAATAAACCTTATTTTGTGCCTTAATGTATCCTTGCTCAGCAGCTTTTTGATATAATTCAATAGCTTTCTTTTCATCTTGTTTTACTCCAACTCCCTCTTCATAGCACCAACCAAGATTATATTGTCCATATGCATGTTTTTGTTTGGCTGCTTTTTGGAACAATTCAATAGCCTTTTGAATATCTCTTTCTATCCCAATTCCATTTTTGTAACATAAACCAAGACTAGTGTATGCAGAAACATTTCCTTGCTTGACTGCTTCTTGATACAGTTCCACTGCTTTTTGAACATTTTTATCTACCCCAATTCCTTTTTCATAACACCCACCAAGGCTATCCTGTGCATAAGCATATCCTTGTTCAGCTGCTTTTTGATACAATTCAAAAGCTTTTTGATAATCTGTTTCTATGCTAATGCTTTTTCTATATAAATAGCCAAGGTTAAACTGTGCATCAGCATTACCTTTTTCAGCTAATTCCTGATACATCTCAACTGCCTTTTGGTCATTTTTTCTCACTCCAGTTCCATTCTGATAACACCAACCAAGATTATATTGCGCATGAGTATATCCTTGTTCAGTTGCTTTTTGATACCATTCAACTGCCTTTTGTTCATCTTTTTCTACTCCAGTTCCATGTCTATAACAACTACCAAGATTATATTGTGCTCTAGCATTTCTTTGTTCAGCTGCTTTTTGATACCATTCAACTGCCTTTTGTTTGTCTTTCTCCACTCCAGTTCCAAGGTGATAACAACTACCAAGATTATTTTGTGCATCAGCATTTCCTTGTTCAGCTGCTTTTTGATACCATTCAACTGCCTTTTGTTCATCTTTTCCTACTCCAGTTCCACGTCTATAACACCAGCCAAGATTAAATTGTGCTCTAGCATTTTCTTGTTCAGCTGCTTTTTGATACCATTCAGCTGCCTTTTGTTTATCTTTTCCTACTCCAGTTCCATACTGATAACACAAACCAAGATTATATTGTGCATCAGCAAGTCCTTGTTCAGCTGCTTTTTGATACCATTCAACTGCCTTTTGTTTATTTTTTCCTACTCCAGCTCCATACTGATAACACAAACCAATATTATGTTGTGCATCAGCAAGCTCTGCGTTTTGATACCATTCAATTGCCTTTTGTCCATCTTTTTCTACTCCAGTTCCATAATGATAACACAAACCAAGATTATATTGTGCATCAACATCTCCTTGTTCAGCTGCTTTTTGGTACCATTCAACTGCCTTTTGTTCATCTTTTCCTACTTCAGTTCCATACTGATAACACTGACCAAGATTACATTGTGCATCTGCAAGTCCCTGTTCAGCTGCTTTTTGATACCATTCAACTGCCTTTTGTTCATCTTTTTCTACTCCAATTCCATACTGATAACACAAACCAAGATTATATTGTACATCAGCAAGTCCTTGTTCAGCTGCTTTTTGATACCATTCAACTGCCTTTTGTTCATCTTTCTCTACTCCAGTTCCATACTGGTAATACCAACCAAGATTACATTGTGCATCAGCATTTTCTTGTTCAGCTGCTTTTTGGTACCATTCAACTGCCTTTTGTTCATCTTTTTCTATTCCAGTTCCATTATCATAACACAAACCAAGATTATATTGTGCACTAGCATTTCCTTGTTCAGCCGCTTTTTGATATCATTCAACTGCCTTTTGTTCATCTTTTCCTACTCCAGTTCCATTATAATAACACAAGGCAAGATCAAATTGTGCACTAGCATCTCCTTGTTCAGCTGTTTCATCCAGATCATCCTCAAAGATGATAGAAGTCATGTCTACTATAACTGTCAGTTGATTGTGATTCCAATAAATCGCTTGCGCAATCTCATTGTGTAACTGCTCTCGTACAACGAATTACGATAAAAAGCTTATACAGTATATTCTATTCTAATAACATACACTTGAATTTGTTGATGAGAAGCTCCTATTCTTTCAGAGAAACATACGTTCCACTTCCTCGAAGCAAATAAGAACACATATTGCACAACACTTGTTATCATTAGATCTTAACATTTTGAAGCTATATAACCATTATCTAATTCTTTGTCTATTATTAAAACTCGATTATTCGTTTTAAGTTTAAAGGCAACGAGCAGCTTCTCTTCCGTTTTCAGTTTTGGAAGAATGATAGCGGAACTTTATTTGGCCGATAATGTTACTATACAGCTTACTAAACAATGTACAAAAATTAGCAGCTTATAATAAC